AATGCCGAGAAACCCTATATAAGCTGCAGCCCCTGAGTTCATCCAGACACTTCCTTTGGCTCATTCGCCTTGCTGAGCTTAGTGAGTATGGGTTTTTTTTATTTCTTTCTATATTCTTAATTGGAACCTCTATCAGAGTAGGTAAAGAAGATTCATATAGGTACGCTTAGATTTTGAGCAGCATTAGATTGTCTCTGTCTGTAACTGCTCTTAGGGAAAACAGTGGGAAATGCAGGGTTTGAGTTTGGGGTTTGACTGGGTGTGAGTGCAGAAACCCTGAAAAACTGAGTGTTCTGAGCCAAATAGAAGCTTAAAAATCACTGATGAAAACACTGTTATTTCAGATAATTATTTTAATATTTCATAAAATTTTAGATAAACATATAAGATTCTGCTATAAATGTACAAGGGTCCGCTTTCCCACTTCAGGGAACTCTGTGGTAGATGACACTGAGGTTCTTAAATTGTTCTTCAGGACATGTGTTTGCATGAACTCTAAGACACATCCATGCAAGACCAGAAGAAAGATCCATCTGGGGGGTCTGGTCATTCCTGGGGTGGACTTTATACAGTCAGAATAATTGCCTCTAGGTGCTCAGCTAGCGTTAATCAAGTTCATCAAACCTGACAAAAAGCATACACTATAGCACAGGAAAGAACAACATAGCAATATCACTCCTATAAGCATTATGAGATTTATCTCATAAATCTTCTGCCTTTTTTTTAGCCTTTTCCATCTCTACCTGTTGCTAACCAATCTCCAACCCTGCAAGATGTCTTGCTACGACCTGTGCCCACCAAAGACCAGCGTGGCCGTCCCGCAGCCCATCGCCGAGAGCTGCAACGAGCTGTGCGCCCGCCAGTGCCCCGACTCCACGGCCTTCATCCAGCCGCCCCCCGTGGTGGTCACCTTCCCCGGCCCCATCCTCAGCTCCTTCCCCCAGCAAGCCGTGGTGGGCTCGTCCGGAGCCCCCGCCTTTGGGGGCTCCCTGGGGCTGGGGGGCCTCTACGGGGCCGGGGCCACGCAGGGCTCGGGGGGCCTCTGCACCTTTGGCAGACCCTACGCTGCTCCCGCCTGCAGCCCTTGCGTCCTGCCCCGCTACACCAAGAAGCTCTGGGACACCTGTGGGCCCTGCTAGACACAGCCCCAGAGACAACAGAGCCACACAGACACCTCAGCCTCACGCCTCCACTCCTTTCTCGCCTCCTCCCCTTCTCTCCATAATACCTCTCTGCCTTGTTCCTGCCTTTGCCCAGGTGTGTAACTCCTCCATCCTCCCACAAGGCACTTGCTTGCCTCTCCAAGTACCGCCACCTGGGAGAAGCCTGAAGGAACAGTTCTCTGGAAGACGGGGGGGACAACCTGCCTGCCTCTGCCTT